CTGACTCTAAATACCATGTCAGAGGTGCAAATGTTAACCTTTTACCAAGTCAATAAATAGTGTCTTGCAACTTTTATGCAAGCTAAATCAAATTCCACAGACCAACTTTTGTGACCCAAACAAACTGCATAAAATCCAAGATTCTAGCATGCACAAATATAAACATCCTTTATCTTTAGGACTTCTACATATATACACTGTTTACTCTATAAATGACATAAAACGATATTTGCCTATTACTGTAATTCTGTTTTGACAATTATTATTGAACTGGAAAAAACACATGACTAAAAGTACGTCTTATGGGCGCGGCCATTTTAGGCGCAGCCATCTTGGAATTAATGCCACACGTGCATTATGCTAATAAGTTAAATACAGTTCTTTAGAATCCATTTTACAGTACAACTTGAATCTATCTTATTTTCCGTTTTATGAGTTCACATTCCAGTTTATATTAATCTAAACACTCACTTCTGTGGCGGGACAAAACTTCGTCGGAAATACTTGTATGGCAACTGACGGGTTAACTGGTAAATAAGTCAAACTTGACTACATTTCGGACTGCTTGCTGCTTTGACTGAAGAATATGGCGACAGTGCCGAACTTAACCTACGGTAGCTTTTAAGAGCAAAACAGAGAAAAATCTAAACCAAGCAAAAATCATCGCTCGGCGAAACACCAGTCAAAACAGCAAATTTTAGGGGGAAACTCAAAAGTAGTTGCGAAAGACAATTCTTTCGTAGCTACTTTTGTGCCCTTCGGGATAATCCTCTAAACAACATAATTACAGTTTAGGACAATCTGAGTAGTGCAAGGTAGTTATTGTCATATAAGAAAATTCATATGTTACGATTTAGTCCTTAAAGTGATGTTTATAAGATCATGAACACTATGAAAACATTTTCAGATTGATTCCTTTACTTTGATTAGTGTACTAAGCAAGTTAACATCAGCCATGAAAAAGAATTCATATTTTCCCCAATTTTGTATCTATACCCGACGGAATAAATCAAAATGCCTGCATTGTGTTCTTTAATGTTACTAAACTTGGTATAGGCCTACACATTTTTATTATACCGAGATATTGGGAAGAGGGGGGGGGGGGGGGGCGGCGGGTATTCACCAAAAATGACCACATGTTTTCGGCTCAAATTTGTACTTTTATACATTGCATAGCTCAATGAAATTGGTATACAGTTTATGGTACTTTACTCTCTAAATAAAAGAGTAAATTTTCACTCTATTTTCACTGTCTTGGGAGTGACGTCAGGGATCACTTGTTTAGGAGTGATTATCGATTGATTTTTTAGTGCTCTCTAAGAAGAAAATAACGAAAAGAGTGAATGTTCACTCTATTTTCATTACATTTTCACTCTCCAGAGGAGTGACGTCGTGATCACTCGATTTTTTTTTAGAGAGTAATTATGCATGATATGACACCAAACTTATGATTTGAGTTTTTAATTTAAAGTTACATGTACCTTTAAAAATCGATTTAAACACACCAAACAAGTCTTCAATATAATCATGCATGAAGTTGATACACATTATGTGAACGAATGATGTTCATGTGGAAATCAAGTCAATATCTTTAGGCTGCTATAGCTTTCACTGAAAAGAGATATAAGCCTCTCTTTTGCATAAGGTATTGCCCTTGTACATGGGTAAATCCCTTGAAAGACAAATATTCTTCTCTGATTTTGGAAAATAATGTTCTTGTTTGTTTTTTTAATCAATTAAAAAAAATTGACCAAAAAAACACACACAAAAATCACCCTTTTTTACCTGAAATCTCAATTTCGCTTAACTACTCACTGATGGCTACTTGCGCCCTCTACATAGCAAACAATGCCTAATCGGTGCCTGTTGTTCCCCCGTGATCCTCTTTTTCTTATGTTGAGAGCTGATTTGATAAGATAACCCCCTGTCAGTGAACTCCCTGGCCAAACTATAGTAGGCCTACAGACGGGGTTTAAAATAATATTTACAAAATACTATTTTTTGTCAAAAATGAGGGCCGCTTTTTGGTTGATACCCCCTACGCCTCTGAAATCTTGAATACACAAAGTGTGCTTAGTTCGTAGTGATGGCAACCAACTAAAAATCACCAAGAGCTTCTAATCCTTCAGGTATATTGTCTGGTCCCACAGCTTTGCCACATTTAATTTTCTCTATGGCAGCTACAATTACTAGTTTGGTGAGAATATTGAATATGGAATAGTTTTTTTTTTTTCCCTTCATATTCAGACCATCTGGCTAATGTTTTATCTTTATCCAAAAAGCACTATCATATAGCTAATTTGATTTTTTTTTCTTCTCTCATGCATATATTACGCTTCTTTTTATTTTTTCTTCATTCTTCACATTTTTCATTGAGCCATTTCTCTTTTGCTTCATTGCATGTTTCCTTTATTTGTAGATGATGAAAATTTGTAGATTTTATGAAGACAATATGAGCAATTTTATGTGACGGTTATGATATTCCTAATGTTAATTGTGATTATCATACAGAAGATCAATTTTTTGAAACAGCATCTAAATATAATCATGCGAACAGTGGCTTAACTCTTCTTCATATAAATATGCGTAGTGTTTGTAAGAATTTTGACAAAAAATTAATGTTAAGATTCATTGATAATATCAATCTAGGACGTGTAATACTTGGTGTCACTGAGACATGGTTTACAAGTGAAGCCGATAGGAGCCTTTTTTCTATTTCTGGTTTTAATCTTGTGAACAACAATAGACAAAGTAGACGTGGAGGAGGTGTTGCTTTGTATATTCCTTCCCAAGTACTACCAGATACATCACGATCTTGATATAAATGTCAGATCATATAGAAACTATCTTTGTTGAGATTGATAACCCTGGTCAAAAGAATCATTTTATAGGAGTTGTATATAGGCCCCCAAATGGTAACTTTAATGATTTTGTAAATGAAATTCAGTCAATTTTAGACAATCCACTTTTAGTTGGAAAGTCACTCTATCTTATGGGAGACTTTAATTTGAATTTATTACTTTGTAATAACGATAATCGAATTGATCATCTGATGTACTATCTTTCATATTTTTTGCAGATGATTCAAGTGTATTTTGTTCTCATAAAAACCCTGAAGTTTTATTAGATACAGTTAATATTGAATTAAAGAAAGTTATTTTGTGGATTCATGCAAATAAGTTGTCCTTGAATCTTTAAAAGACAAACTATATGTTTTTTAGTAACTCCATAAAGGATGTACCTGGAAATGTATTTTTTGATGATGTTAATGTTGTGAGAGTAACTTCCACCAAGTTTCTTGGGCTACATATTGATGAGAAGCTGTCTTGGGCATCTCATTGTACTAATATTTGTAAAGTCATGTCTATAAATACTGGTGTAATTTATAAATTAAGTTCTTTTGTCCCACAAGAAATTTTGCTTATTTTGTATTCTACTTTAATTTTGCCTTATCTCAATTATGGAGTGCTGGCATGGGGGAAGTCATTGAAAACACAATTAGATAAGATTTGTGTTGCCCGAAAGAGGGTATAGTTAGAGTTGTTTTTAATGCGAGCTATCGTGCTCATACTAATGTTTTGTTCTACAGTAATAAGCTATTGAAGGTTGAAGACATTTACTTTATACAGTTAGGCGCAATTATGCATGGTTTTGAAAATGGTCTCCCAAATGCGTTAGTACAAATATTTCGAAAGAACAAGAAGTTACTACTTGGAAAGAACAATCAAATTCATAGCTATAATACCGTAAGGCAGGCAACTGCACTTCATATTCCACGTGTAAGAACTGCTTTTGCTCTCGGAAGACGCTGGCTTGTACTGGTCCCAAGTTTTGGAACTCACTTCCTATCAATGTAACTAGATCTGTCAGTGTTTTTGTTTTTAAACGCAAATTGAAATTACATTTATTGAGTAACTATGTCGACAATAATTTAACGTAAAAATTATATCACCAGAAATGATATTGAGTAATAATTTATTAATTGTTATTACGTGCAAGTCGTGCATTATCTTTTTGTTTTTGTTATGTTTGATTATTCAATATAAATGTCAGCATTTCACATTCTCTCTCTCCCCCCCCTCCTCTCTTCTATTTTTCTTTTTCTTTACACCAAATACCATTTTCCCCTATATACATATAACTTTCTTCTTTCTCTGTTTTTCTCTGTTTTTGTTGTTTTTCTCGTTCCAGTTTGCTTTTTTCCTCTCGATCCTTTTGTATATATTTTCATCCTCTCCTTTTCAAATTTCAAGCTATCCCTTTTGTAAATATTTCCCCCATATTTAACCATGTGTAGTTTTGATAACTTTGAAACATTTTAAAAAGTGAAACATTGATGGATTATGTTATATGAGGACCTTGCTCTTACAAGCCCAGCTTTTCTAAGGTCTCCACTTTCTTCTATTTGGATTATATATCGACTTAAAATTGCACTTAAATTGTTTTTTCTTATGTTGTTTTTGTTCTATTATTATATGTAAAAATGTTGTGAAAGAAAGAAATAAAATGAACCTTGAACCTTGAACCTATTTCTTTATTCAAGTTTTTGTATTTTTCTTCATATCCATAATATTTAGCTGTCGCTAACTTCAACTTTATGCTCGGTCGTACCGCAAATAAATAGTCTGCTAACTTTTACACTATGCGCGTGCGGAAAAACAATGCATGCACGCAATGCAAAATGCAATGCAATGTCAATGAAACGGGGAATTCCTGAATTTCTACGTTGTTCTTTAATGTGTATTTCAATTTGTACATGAATTGTGTATGATTGATCTGATTACATATCGTTGTGTTTTACGGTACCAGCTTGCAACTCAAAGGATATGATTGAACGACATGGAAACCTCGAGATCTACATGAATTCTCTTTGATTTGCTAAGTTAGATCTGAGTACCGCCTACCGGTATCATTCCGACATTAAAAATTCAAAAGCAGAGACGAGTCTCAGCTGCTCAGTGCAGTGTCGGTGACCAGTGACACTCGACTGTGCATGTGTCGACTGTCGAGTAGTGTCGTCGGTGACATTGCAATTTCGTGAATGATTTTCACCGTTCCATTTCATTTGACAGGTTTGTTGACTAATTTTAAAAATGAATTGTATTGTAGATCTATGCTGTTATAGACCCTAAGCCTTCTTCATTTTGTGTTGTTATACAGATTACAGTAATTGTACTTCCAATCCATTGACCATAATATTAGCCAACAGTTCCTTCTTGCAAATAAATCTTTGGTCATGACTCATGTTATCCTCTTTCATGTTTTTTTAAAATCTTCTAGATCTAGGCCTACTTGGATCAGGTACAGCTGGCATGCATGAAACCAAGCCAAAATTAACTTTTCTTGGCATTCTATAGGTTAACAGAATATGAAGAAAATAAAATAACATGACACCCTACTCAGGGAACCCAAGTTAGATCTAGATTAGACTAATTTGCATAAAAAGATAATGGTGTGTCAATGTCGGCTAGTTTACTCAAGAATCACTTTTGCACTACATTTAGTAGACCCTATAAGAGTGTATTTTAACTTGCTTCTCTTTAGAGAACTACCCTTTAGACTGAGGTCCCCATTTAAAAATAGTACACTTGACATGCAATCCCTAACTAAGATTAGAATAGATGCAGAGCAAAATATATTTGTGATTGCTACACTTTAAAAACATGGTCAATAATTAAGATTTGCCTTCATCTTTTCATGTTCCTAGTCCAACCATGGATAAGATATTACTTGGTATCTCAGCGTCTGCTCACCAAGAGGGTGTTAAGAAAGCCCTCTTCTTGAAGATGATGTCAACAGCCTCCAAACCTTTGAGCAAGGAAGAAGTAACGACCATCCTTCAGCTTTCATCATGTTGGGTCATCGGTGAGGAGGAGTTCCTACAGGATATGGGACTGCAGGTAGGCTTAAATACTACAATTAAAATGTTACTTGCTGCTGAACTGTGTTTCATATCTTTCAGCTCATAAGATCCAGTTCTGTCTTTGCTTTCCATGATCAATTTTTGCTTTTCTTAAGACAAGAATGTCAGTTTTCAGGCCTACATGTACACCTCCCCATTTCAGGCTTGTCACATGTCACAGTCTCTTTTTAGGCTCATGACATTAGATGAAACCAGCTGGTATCCCTGTTAAGAGAAGAGGTGACGAAAGCAAAGTAATCTTTATTATCATATTTGAAATATTGCAGTCGTTTATTTGAAGAAAGATTCATAATTGCACGTCAAAAACAGAAGAGGCTTACAAAGTGCTTGTAGATCCCAATTGTTTGGAGTGTATAGATAATAGCCTTCTCTCAACACTTTGTAAACCTGGAACTATCATTGATTCAATGGAAGGAATTAATGAGTATTCATTCTATTAGCTGATGTGTTATTGATATATTATTAAATCAGATGTAGATAAGTCTAAAATGAATATGTGAAGTAGAAGAGCTATACATTCTGTACCATAAATTAGCAGGGCAAAAAAGGTTCAGATTTACTACAGAGTTTTAGATAGGTCGAGCAGAAGTACATTTTATTGTACTGCTATATTTAGAATGTTTCAGATTTGTCATGCTTATGCTATATTACATTGTACTTTTTTCCCCATGTTTGTTTATGTTGTATTATTCTAATCCTGTTAACAGATATTTCAGGCCTGGGCGAAGTATAATCCAACAACATATGAAGATTTCTTTTGTCATCACTTCCTGATTTCATCGTTTGGAGAATCAGTCAGCAACCCTCTGATGTTGATCCGCTTCATCAGTGACTGCTTGAAGACCCTTCATCTCAAGCATGATACAGCCGTTAAGATTGTGAGGACAGGAGTCATCAGTCTCTGTCGAAGGTTCCCGGACATTGCCATCCAGGGGGAGATCTGTAGACTCCTACGAGCCAACCAGGACTGCATCCCGGAGAACGCTTTTGCGGCCACTCTTTGCCAGACCTTGATTACCAATACTAGCATCCTGGAGATTCCTGTGGGTGATGCTGAGCTGAAGACGTGTATGGAAGCGGTTGGGAACGTTGGACATCTCCTGCGGTTGGTCTGGTCCACGCTGCCAACCACCATCATCCCTTCCCTCCAGCACGTCTTCAACATCATCTCCACCTTCTCCGTCGAGGAGTCGCAGAACCCCTCCTTGGCCTTGGGCGCCCTGGTCCAGCACATCCATATGAACGTAGTCGAGGCAGTCACAAAGAGCGCTGTCTCCGACATCTCCATAACGGATGAGAGAATGACGGTGGCGCTTCAGAGGATGATTGACTGGTTGTCCTGGCCGAGCATTATCAACATTGATAAGTGGATAATCACTTTTCTGACAAATCTTGCCTCTGTCAACAAATTCACCATTCTCATCAAAGTCACATTGCTGACCGTTGAAACAGTGAGTAGAAATAGTAGTAAACTGTCAGCTTTCATTGTAAAGGGATCAGATATGTGTGGGTACTGGAGAATATTAGAGTACATTCAACAACTTTGGTGTCAGATAGAAATTAAGAGAGAGAATTACCCAGTCAGAGTCATTATGTGATGACTGAGTAAATCCTGTGTAGTTTAGAACACCAATACATTGGCAAAAAAAATATATGTTTGTTTGTTTATTAAATCAAAAAGAGATATGTAGGCCTACTTTCTATAACCAAAATAAAGTTAATAATGATAAATAATACAATAAATTTCCCTTGACAATGGTTTCTCATTGAAACATGTACTAAAGGAACCTGTCAATAAAGACCACTTTTCTTATCTACTTCATCTCAAATTACTTACTTATCTATTTCATAATTGCCAATCTAATGTTAATTGGAATTGCCACCGGTAGATGAAAAAATTCTAGAACTGGAAAACCTCTTGCCCAATCCCCTATATATGACCATGCTCTTAGGAATACTTCCTCCTTTCTTCTGCCGGACGTGAATTCACGTTTCCCCCAATGAAGCTCTGAAAAGCTAGGTTAATTACCCATATATTTTTCTGATTTTTTGTAAGTATGACCCAGATTGCAGGTCTAGGTTTGGGAAATTACTTTTTTTATTTTTTTTATTTCAAAGGAAATGTCGCAATAGACAGGTGATTGCGAAAGCAGGTTTGACTATCATAACAATGAAGCTCTATAATGTTGATCGATGTATTGTTTTATCACTTTTATGTTCTGTCTCTGTATACCAGATGCTATCCCGACTCTTTTTCCCGATCGTCAGAGACTGTGCCTTTCATGTGTTTTCTCATATGCTCCTGAGCTTTCAACACTCACCCGATGCCTTTCACAAGGTAACCATATTTTAGCATCAGTTTCAGAAAGCTTCTGTAAGTTTTCATTCTGGCCTTGAGTTACCTAGAGTCTGCACAGCATTAAAATGCCCACGCACTTGTTCAATGCGCCTCTCAAATGACCAAGAGTAAGGCCACATTTGTACCTTTGTGTCCATTGGACTGGTCAGTACAGCTTGCCCATTGACTGACAGCAGTCGGAACCAGTGGTCATATTTGCTCCGCTCCTGGGGAAGGTGTTAGAGGTCAAGTTTGGGCATGTCAACAGCATCTTTAGATAGACAACATATTCAGACACCCTGGTAGACAAACAGGGTGCCAATTAAAACATTGGCCAAATAATCTGTGGCTCAAGTGGTTTACCTAGGAATTGGAATTTCAAAACAGAAAATGGATGATGCTGGGTGGTTCTGAAGAATTATTGCCAGATTTGTCAAAAATTCCCTGTATTCTTAAAATTTGGGATATTAGTTGATAAGAATTAGTTGAATATGATTGTTTCCTCATTTGCTACTTGAACTAAAGCAGGATTATTCAGCTGTGGTAATATTCTATTAAGTGGTATATATATGTGAAATTGCAACTGTTTTTTATGGTAATAACAAAGTTTTGGTATGGGGTCATGAATTTGGTTAATTGAACATATTGGAAGCATATGGGATCCTACAATATTCAGTGATCGAAATCGAGTCTAAAGTGATGAAATTGTAAACAATAAACTCTTTATGTTGTGTAGCGCCCTCTCAAGGTCAAGATATTGATTCAGCTATAAAACAATGTTATTTGACTAAAATCGACCAATTTGCTATTACCGTTTGGAATATATATATCGCAACTGCATATTCTGAGATTTTCATGGTCGCAGATACCATCGTATGGCCGTAGGCGCTATTTGAATTTTATCAATTTTTCTCGAAAGCAGAAGTGTTTTAGGGGCCAATTTTGTTAGTGCTTATAATACATCCATAGGGGCATCCAAATATATCAACACTGTAAAGAATCACTATCCAGCCAATTTTCAAAAATTACCAAAACTTTGTAATACCTTTAATCCTTTATCCTTTCAATGTCAGATCCTAGGTCAGATACCAGAGCTAATGCAGAGACTACGTGATGAGGACACTCCTGCCAGTCATAGCTTCCTGTCTAAAGTGGCTGACCTAGTGTATTGTCTGATGTACCACCATGCAGGCTATCCAGAGCTCTATGATCCTCTCCTAGAGGCCCTTAAGGTCAGTTCTTGAATGAAATGTTATGTATTCTATAAATACAGGATGGTCCACAAGGGGTTTAAACATGGAACAGCGAAAGGTTTGAAAATCAGCTAGACAGGTAATATTCATTATCCCCCAAAAAATTAAAAATATTAGTCATAAAGTGTGTTTAAAAATTCTTCAAAGTAAGATGGATAAGATTGCACCAGGGTTCATCTAAGAACCTTAGAGCCCTTAACAAGCCCTTGAGCCCGGCCACACTGGACTTTGCATGTTTAGCATGTTCATACTCCTTTCACTTCCCCATTTTACATGTTTGAACTTTTGCTTGTAGACTACCCTGTATTACTTTCTTGAGCTTGGACAATTAACACTAAAGTACATGTACACAGTAAAGCTTCACAGCCCTTCGTCTTAGGTGTTGCTAGGACAAGTCTGAAACAGCAATGGCTAGATTACAAAATCTTAAAGCTGCTCTCTGTTCATGCAGTGGTAAGTGTAAGAAACACAAAGAAAGTTCTCATTATATTGATTTTCAATAACCTTATCTTGTGTTTGAAGGACTGACAAAATGATAGTCATATATTCATTGCCTTCCTCTGAAAACTACATTATTCACCTTTTTTTCCCCAGGACTTCCCCCGCCCCAGCGAGACCAGTATGATGTCCAAGCTGAAACAGAGCGCTTGGACATCACAGAAGGGTGGTCTGGGAGCAGAGTTCTCTTCAAAGTTTGAGCCTCGCTCTGAGACGGGCAAGACAGGCTTGGTCAACCTGGGAAATACCTGCTACATGAACAGTGTCATACAGGCTTTATACATGTCATCAAAGTAAGTACTTGTCATTAATGATGATGTGGTGATGATGGTGGTGGTGGTGATGATGATGATGATGATGATGATGATGATGATGATGATGATGATGATGATGATGATGATGATGATGATGATGATGATGATGGTGGTGGTGGTGGTGGTGGTGGTGGTGGTGGTGGTGATGATGATGATGATGATGATGATGATGATGATGATGATGATGATGACAATGGTGATGACGATGGTGATGATGATGATGATGATGATGGTGATGATGATGATGATGATGATGATGATGATGATGATAGTGATGATGATGATGATGATGATGATGGTGATGGTGATGATGATGATGACACTGGTGATGATGATGGTGATGATGATGATGGTGGTGGTGGATAATGATGACAATGGTGATGCTGATAGTGAAGATGATGATGCTGATAGTGATGATGATGATGATGATGATGATGATGGTGATGATGATGATGACACTGGTGATGATGATGGTGATGATGATGATGGTGGTGGTGATGGTGATGATGATGATGACACTGGTGATGATGATGGTGATGATGATGATGATGGTGGTGGTGGATAATGATGACAATGGTGATGCTGATAGTGAAGATGATGATGCTGATAGTGATGATGATGAAGATGATGATGATAGTGGTGATGATGGTGATGATGATGATGGTGGTGGTGGATAATGATGACAATGGTGATTCTGATAATGATGATGATGCTGATAGTGATGATGATGATGATGATGATGATGATGATGATAGTGATGATGATGATGATGGTGATGATGATTATGACAATGGTGATGCTGATGGTAATGATGGTGGTGGTGGATAATGATGAAAATGGTGATGCTGATAGTGATGATGATGGTGATGATGGTGGTGGACTGGTGGTGGTGGATAATGATGAAAATGGTGATGCTAATAATGATGATGGTGTTGATGAGAATGATGAAATGTAAATCTAGATAACGATGATGAAATAAATGTTAACTGTTATTATGAGGATGGTTTGTTATAAATCTAATTGTGAGTGACTATTTTGTTTTGTACTTCATTAATCGTATTATCTTGCTGTATATTGTACCCTGTCTACATTTCACTTAGTATCAGTTGCAAATATTTAATTTATTTTCTCATTAAAATTACAATGTCTTTAAATTTTCTTTTCCACATTCTATGTTCTCACACAGCTTCTGCGATGATATAATCAACTACCCACTCTTCAACAGACAGAGCATCATGTACAGCATACAACTCTGCTTTGCATTCTTGACCCATACTCAGGTACGTGGTTAGAACTGGGCTTTATATTCATTACTTCTTTAAACATTCTTTAAAATGTATGTAATAAGGAATATTGAAATTTGTTCCCATTGTATTTTTGATACCACTTACAGTTCAACATTTCATTTGGCTTGATAATTGAAAAAAATTAAGGTAAACATATTTCTTGATTTAAAAGTTGCTTGTGATCAGAGCAGAAATGATCAAAAATGTTGCAAAATTGTGACAAATACATTTCTTAATCTTCACCTGATAACGAGTGATTTTATTCATGATTTCTGATCGAGGCATGGAAGAACTGATTTTACCTCATACTTAGCTGCTTGCTAGGTGCCTTTTCTATACCAGATAGTAGTCATTGGGTCTTCATTCTTTCTCTGGTTATGTGAGGGACATATTGGTACACATGTATTAGACAGGTGTTATGAATCTTTGATAGTAATGTTTTAGCTTGATGAGAAATGATCATGCATTCTTGTTTGATTCATTTGTTCATCAGTTAAGTATCTTGATTTATTGCACCCATTATATAACATTGTGAGGTTCACACGGAAGTCCATTAATTATAAGTTTAGGTCTTGGTTTTGAACTTCAAAGGTACCTTGTAGTTAGGGACTGTGTGGATGCACTAATGGTTAAGAAAGTTAACTCAAAGCTACAAACCATGACAGATTGTAAGTTTAACTATGATCAGTGGGGGGGGGGGGGGGGGGTCCCACCATGCAGAAACAATTGAGGTTAAGCCAGCTTGGAGCTACAATGATTGCTTGTCCTGCTCAAAGTTCACTTTGACTACTCGTTGTTATGGTCCCATCTGAACCCTCATCGTTTGTGGATCGTTGTTTGTAACTTTGAGGTTTCGCAAACTTCAAGTTTAAAAGTATGGTTTTATTGCGTGAACACAGCTATATACACCAATTCTCAATCATGTTTATTTTTTAGAGAGCAGCATACGCCCCACGGGAGTTCCTGAGAGCATCGCGGCCCCCCTGGTTTGCTCCTGGTTCTCAGCAGGACTGCTCAGAGTTCCTCAAGTACCTGTTAGACCGGCTGGACGAGGAGGAGAAAGGATGGAGGAAGATGATGAAGAATGCAGCAGCATCCATCTCATCGTCGCTGTCATCACCCTCCTCCTCGTCATCCTCATCACCGGGACCAGTAACGCAGGACCAGGTACCTTTAGATTGAACTCTTATTTAATTTTGTGTGACTTATCCTTTTCCTTTCATTGTCAAGAGTAGAAGTGATTATATAAGTTTAATGGAATGTGAATGTTGGTAAGGATATTATTAAGCTAGGTGATTATGGCCGTTTATACAGCATCTATTTCTTGTATAGAAATACCAATCAGGGTTCCCTGAAAATGAGGGAAAACCATGAAAATGAGTTCCCCTATTTTCCCAGTCAGGGAAGGGAATCTTTTTTAATTTCCCACATCCGGGAGAAATTATGGAAGTACATTAGCCCCAAAACAAAAATTTGTCAGTCTCTTCTGTTTTGTTTTTTGTCAAAACGTGTGTAAATACATTAGCGGTAGCACCTTCATGGAAGATGTTTCAAATTGGAAATGGGTTAAAAGAATGATCCAGGAAAAATGAAATGATAATTTATGACAGGCTAGTATTCGGTGTGGTGGAACTATGTTTGCCATGATTTATGAAATCTTCACTCACTCTCTTTGCTTGTTTCCAAATAGGATTGCACAGACAGAAATGAAGTAAAGATGGAAACGGGTGCCGTAGGGAGCTCCGGTGAGGAATCATCATCAGCCAGCTCCCCATCATCCACTGGGAGTCTTCTTGCTCCTCTCTCCTTATCAGGGTCCAATATGCCAGTCTGTCATCCAACCGATGAGTTGTATCTTCCAACAGCATCAGATACAGCATGCTGCAGTGGCAGCAGCATGGCCATGGAGTCTAGTCAGTCCTACGGTCAGGCTAAATCGTGGTCCTCACCAAAGTTGAAGAAAGAAGATGCAGTCCAATCTCGGGAGAGCATCGTAGAAAGACACTTTGGTGGGCAGTCTGCGACGCACATCCGATGCTTAAACTGTGGTACAGTGTCAAGTCGGAAGGAAACTTTTTTCGATCTGCCACTTGGATTTCCTGGTACAGAAGGAAGGGATAATTTACTTGGAGGACGTTGTGATACCCCGGCTGAAGAAAGGCAGTCGGAGAAGTCGGACTATGCTGCTATGGAGTTAGCACAGGATACTCGGAGTGTGGTAGGTGCAAGTGCGATAGCTGATGCTATGGGACCTCACAGCAGTAGCAGGTCAACAAGTGAAGCTCAGGGTGTGGCTGGTTCAAACTCCGAAGCCACCAAGACTCACCTTGAAGATCTCCTGAGACATTACTTCAGTCCAGAGCTTCTGGTCAAGGACAACAGGTATCATTGTGACAAGTGCCAGAGCTTGCAGGATGCAGAGAAGTCTCTGGAGATCATCAACGCACCAGAGATTCTGATCATTACCCTTCTGCGCTTCTCCTACGACGTCAAACTGCAGAGACGATGTAAGATCATGGAGGATGTTCGCTACCCAAGGATCCTTCATCTTGATGTGAACCCTTGTGATGGTGACTGTAGCGTGGATGGTAACCATGGTAACCATGGTGGACCGTGCACAAAGAGGACTCGACAGAACAGTGTCGGTACCGCACACTGCTCCACGGAGAGGGACTGTGACAGGACTGTTCAGTACGTCCTCAGTACAGTCATAGTCCACTCAGGAATGTCATCAGAGAGCGGTCACTACTACTGTTATGCGTCCGACGATGTAGATGATATCCAGAGGCATCTCATGCGACAGAAAAAGAGTAATAGGAACAATGGAGAAGGCTCTGATCTCAAAACTAATGAAACAATCGATGAGGAGCATCTACCTAATAAATGGTATCTGTTTAATGACAGTCGTGTGACTTCATCCAAATTTGAATCCTTTGGGAAGGTCACACAGCGTTTCCCAAGAGACACAGCTTATGTTCTGTTTTATAGGAAGTGCGATGAAGACTATGGAAGTGGTGACTCGATTGATTCAGTGGTACAGAGAGCCATGCCCTCGTCATCATCGTCATCGTCGTCGTACTCGGCTTCCATCTTGAAGGAGAAACATTTGCGGAAAGATCTTCAGGACGCAATCCAAAAGGACAATTTGCATTATATTCAGGTAAGATTCATTTTGTTTTTGTTTCTTTTTTCAGATACAAAAACAAAATTAGTATTAAAAGACTGGCACTGAGGACATTATTTTGATTTATGTTATTATACTTAAAGAAATTCAATAGAAATGAAGCACACTATTTTAAATGGCGGGATGAATAGAATTTCTTTTTCAAATTAGCAACATCAATATTTTCTTTCTTTGCTTCATTCCTCTGTCAAAATATCATGTAATCTGATTAAAAAGCCATGCATATCGCACAAAAAATATGATTCCCTAATCCCTATTAGTACTCTATTCATTTTTATATTAAAAGTGCAATTAAATTTGTTATTTCTACTACTGTTATTTGGTGACATTTTTGGTAAACAAAAAGAGATATCGTATTAATAAAACAGTAAAATAAAAAGCTGTCATGTTCTGAAACAATTTTTGGGGGTGTTTCACAGAACTTGTCATCGGTGACAAATGACAATTTTTGTTATAAGCTACTGAAATCCTTGCTTCTAATTGGTTATCAGCAGATTTGTCACTGATTTTTGTCATTGAAAAAAGGCTTTGTGAAACACCCCCCTGGTCTGAACCACACTCACTCTAAATATGTTGTTAAAGAATTTTATTTAGAATTTGAGTTCAGAAACAAATCTTTTGATAGCTCAGTCAGTAGAGCAGTGGTCTCGTAATCCGGTGACCCGGGTTCGAAACCAAATCAATGCGCTAGTGCCCTTTGGTAAGGCATTAATCCTCATTACCAGGTCCCTCGGAGAGGACCTAAAGCCATCGGCCGTCTGGTTGTTTCTTACAAGCATTTATGCTTTCTTAGCAGTCAGGTAAAATAACCACCATCACCATTATGTGTTATCTTTTTAGGAAAGAGAGATTGAAGCGCGTGAGGCCGCTTTGAGGAAACGGCACCCATCCTCGGCAGCTAAGCCGTTCTACTCCAGAAACTTTGACGACAAGAATGACCCACCAGGAGGGTGTGGTCTAGGCGGGGGAGGTGGTGGAGGGGGGCCAAGCCTCTCCTCCAATAGGCTCGTCTTCTAAGGCACCGTTCAAATATGACGCAGCAAAACCGCTGCATTTTTTTCTCAACAATGATCTTAAGTACTTCACATTTCTGTATCTTGTAACACAGAGCTCAGTGAATATGCACAGGTCTGGACATATGTTGAAGTTGCCATTCGTTTGCATGTAAAGAAACTGAGGCATTTTTTGTGGCGGTTTAGCGCGTCATATCTGAACAACCCTAAAGGAGTATCTTTCATTGTAATCAAAGCTGTTTTTTATCTTTCTTTGATATGTACTTATTGTCAGTCATATACGGGTTAATCTATAAAGGCCTATATTTGAGCTATTTATTCAGCTAAGCTTACTTGTGGGAGCACTTTTTGCTTGCAAGAATAACTGTGGTAACCTAATATATTTATTGATAGGACAATATTTTGAAAAATGAACTGGTCACCTTTTTAATGACTAGTCCCATGTATGCACATTCCTGTTTGTAATGTCAGGACATAGAATTTTCTGCTGGGACTTTGTATTGGGTAAATTTAAAAAGTAATTGTTGATACATGGATATGATATCACTAACAAATCCAAGCATATTATAGACAGTTTCTCTGCCGATAAAATAGAGGTAGGGCATATAGACATGTATGTAAAGAGCTTTTAATAGAAACTCGTCTGCTGAGAGTCAGATGTGACACTGCAAAGCTGCAGCGTTTTGTTCATCGATGGCTCCATATAGATATATCGACTGCTGTGAGAGGCTTGGCTGTTTTACAGGCTCAAGGGGATGCAACGTCCCCGGGAGCCAACAGCCAGGCCTTGAATATTAAAGCAGTCTATATGTCTTTTATATATCGAATTGACACAAAAATCTACCAAGAATTCTTACCTTATCCTTGAGTAAAGATTGGTTAAAAAATCACGGAAAATCTAAGACACCATCTGTTATTCTTCACTGGAAAGATGACTGAATGTTACAATCATTTGGGAATCGCAGACAAAAGGCACGGTATGGTATCCGCGCTCGCACAAACTAAGTTTTACAACGTAAACCAATAGGGATCGCAGCAAAATGTTACTATTTTCTTGCAGGAATCTCACTCATGAACTATTAACCGGTACAGGCATTGTTTGTTTCTTTACGGGAATAGCTAAAATCACGACTCCAATTTCGACCAATCAGATGGCTAGATTTCTAAAGAGAGGTATATAAAGTGTAATATGCTTCACGTTTCTGTATCTTTCTGTAACATAGAGCACAGTGAATACGAGCAGGACCTTCGCAGGTGCCATTCGTTGACATGTGAAAAAAACTGCAGCTGCATTTTTGTGTTGGTTTAAATGTACCATGTTATATCTGAAGAAGCCCCTAGTGTGAAAAAGGACAATTTAAACTTAGGTTTTATCTTTTCTGCTGCATCAAACCAACATTGGACAATGGATTATGCTGGTAAATCCATGATCTAAGCAAGCAATCGCGTGTAATGGTATGTTACTTTTGTTATACTTTTCTCTTGATCAGACTTTATACCGTATCAAAAGGAATCATTGCGTATGACCTGCATTTCTTATTTAGAATTTGTAAAAATTGATATTTGGTCATCTTTTAACAAGGAAATTCTCATTTGTTGAGCCTTTATTTATTGTGTCATCTCTATAACACAGCCTATTCATTTCGACTTATAGAAAGCCAAATAATTCACGTCTTCTCCTCTCTCCTCCCTTTTTTCTCAGCCCAGCATAATTTTGGTGTTATTTGATAGTTTATTTTTACTGTTACAGTATGTAGCAGATTAATTTATAAAATGATTTTGTATTTAATCAAACGTGATTTGAATTGAGTTGATCTGAATATAATTGAGTTTAAGCAAATTGACAAATGATGTATTACGTGTGTGAGGACGGATGGGAAAGTGCAATCAATTACAGGCTAATGCAACATTAAACACTATTAGGTCACTTCAAGTGAGGTTAATGGAAGAAGTTTGTTACTGCGCTGTGTTAAAAAAAAGTAATTTTGTGTTGGCATTTCAAGGTTTATCGTAAAATTATGCCTTTTTGCAAAATGGATCAATGGTACGAGATGGTGTATTAAAGTGATTTTCCTATTCATTTTATTTTGAATTGTAAAGACCCTGTCAGATGTGACAAATTGAATTAAATAGATGAATTATATATCAACGGGAAGCTTATAAGGAGTAGATTAGGATAATGTAAATTATATGCCATTTTAGTATCTGTCAGAGGCCTAGCAGTTCTCTAAAAACTCGTAATCTAAAGCTTTGAAAATTGTAAGTTGTTGACCTAAAAGCTAGCTTTCAACTTGATAACATCTTTTTGTGTGGAATATGCTTATTAACAGATACTTTGCATTAATCAAGCATGGCTCAGCTATATAGGCTAGCCGATTGGGTCCACATGTTATGACGTCAACGTAACTGCAGCAATTTTACCTCGGTTGACCTGTAATTCGGAGGGATGCGGAAAATGAGGTTTTCATTTGCTTTGGAAGGGGAATTTTGTATTCCTTTATATTGGTATTCTACATTCATTTAGCTTTGCATTGATATAAAGTTGTATTTCCATCTGATAGGGTCTTTAAAAAGCTGATCTTTGTTTTATTATTTTCATCAAATTGGCAATGCCATGTCATCAATCACTATCGTATTTTCTATTTCATGTATATGACAAGGTTCATTCACATAAGAAGAGGTAAACTGCAACATTTTTTTAAAAATTTGTAAATAAATGATAACTGTACACGCCAGAGGCATCTATACTGAGCTCTGTTATAAGGTACATAACTGTGAAGCATATTACAAATACGTCATTATGAGGAAAAAGAAGTTCCACAGTTAACCGTGTCCTACCTGAACAAAGTTCTAGTTTGGCAGAAAATGTGGATTTGAGCTAGGATATTACTCATATGTTTTGTAAAAAGAAAGCAGTATATACCCAATTTTTGTCACTATCATATTTATAATATTATTTGTGAAAACAAATTCAATTTCAACTCCTTGCAAAGCTGAGATTGTCTGTTTAGTTTATCAGAGCTGCCAACCATTCCGTTTTTGCCGGAATTACTCCGTTTTTCCCTCCAAATTACGGTATTACGTTTTTTCTTCATAAATTCTGTTTTTTTTTTTTTTTTTTTTTACATACCACACATCAAACAACTGCCCTAAAATGTGGATTTGATCACAAATTCAATAGAAAACTAAGTTTAAAACATACTTGAATACATACTTAAAGAGAAAATATTATCAAAAAGAATGAAATACCGGTACTGATAATACCAAAATTTAAAAAAAAATAAATAACCTGCTTGTATGGAAAAAAATCAGCATAAGGAATGGACATTTCTGCATTGGAAGTGTGTCGCGCGTGGTTGTAAGTTTCGTTTTAATGAATTCCTTTTTTTGGTCGCACAAGGTTGGCAGCTCTGGTTTATAAGTATAAACTTAATGAATATAGAAAATTGGTTTACGAGGGTATTAGTCATTTTATCCCCAACATATTTATTGAGGCAATTTCACCTTTTCAGTGGTCTGTTTAACGTTTGTTCATCTTTTCATGTTTTGCGTCTTTTGCATCTTGGAAGTAATTTCACTGTATTACACTGATCTTACTAATTATTGCTAAATTTACATCTTTCTAATTATTATGAAATTTCATGGTTGAGATATTGATTCTTACATTACATTTATGTTATGATCCATGAAACATATTAAAAGAGATTATTGACTTTTACTCTTGACACGTGTCTTTGTCTTTAAAAAACCCCTGTGTTTGCTTAATATAGTATGGTTGTAGTATAATATAATGTATTTCATTCACGCAACATAAACTAAACAAACGGTATTACCCTCTACATGTTACAACCAACTTATAATGCTGACAAAATCAAATTTTTAACTTGAACCCTGGACCCAGCGGCCAGCACTATAAATCCTAACCCTAACTTACCGGTATGCTTACTATCAGAACAGCAATTTATCTAAATTGATCACTTATTGTTCTGCAAATTGGCAACAATAATATTATTTTTTTGTAATGCTACCTTGTTCTCATAGAATGCAATGTCTCTGAAAATAATATACATGGGTAGTAACTTCCATTGGAAAGTTGAAGAAAAAATTGCAAATTTTGATTAAAAACAATGATCAATGTAATGAATTAATGGATTTTAAAGGGAAAGTTCTCCCTGAAATTAAGTTTTCACTTAACTTATTAAACTTTCACTGACCTGTTCCTCTCATTTTTCTGCTTCTATAAAAACCAAGTAAATACGAGGGTGAACTTTTTCTTTGAGGCTTATTTTCCTTTCTAAAATTTCTGTTGCCAAATGCAATGTGGCCATATACGACACAAATGGATAAATTGTGTGCAGAAATTTTTGCCCTTACTCTCACGCATCTGGTATACCAACCAAAAAATGTGGAATGATTGTCCCAAAACCCAATTACAGCTCTACCAAAGTATCTTTGATAAAGCTCAGACTACATGTTGGATCATCGTGGACATCTACCCAACCACAATAAGGGAGTTTACAGATAGCACATGGTACAAATGACCCCAAATATCCACAGATCTTTTACACATGGAGAAGTTCCACTTTTAGCATCTTAGAATAATAACTGCCAAAGTCCTAGATGTGCTTCATGAATACCTTTTGTTTGCCCTCTTGAAAAGAATACTTCCACCTGCGTATCTTAGAATGTACCGTTAGTGCATGAATGAATAATGTTACATAACTTTCATGAGCGCATATCCAATATTCATCTCTGTGGGTTTTACCTTTTTGGTACAAATGACCTTTATCTGCTCATGCTCAGACTGCAACCGTAAACTGGCTGATTACATGGACCCTTGCCTATGGGCATATTCCCCCGTTCTGTTAACAAATAATCAGTTAAAAAATCAAAATTTAGATGGTTAATTGTTGAAAGTGGAAAGGAAAAGATGGGATGTGTGTAAGAAAATGATGTCTGCGATATTTTTTGTCATTATGAAGACTACGGTATTTTTATTCTCTCTACCCCTGTGCAACTCTCTCCTTTTCTTGCTCCTCTCTCTCTTTTCATCTCGTCTTTCTTTGCACTTTCCCTTTTAATGATGAACAATAAGATGATTTATATGGTAGCCCAACTACTGTATGAATATCTTCTACTGCGCTGGGTGTATTGCTACTTTACAGGTAATATAACTCTCACATCAATTGTAAAATCCATTTGCAACAAGAACTAATCTCACACTATTTTGTCTCAAATATTTGGCTGTCATATAAAGAAAGTAAATTTGATTAAAAGGTAGAGCTGATTTTCAACACTGCTTGGATTGAAAAAGAAAGAATGAGAGTGAGAAAGAGGGGGAGGGGAGGTACAGAGGGGAAAATCTAATAGCTCTAGCATAGCATGCTATACTTCTGTAAGCTTTCAAATAATTTTACACTATAATTGGTATAATTCAAGGAAACCACAATTACAAAGCTAGAAAGGATGTAAATTTAATGAATTATGCCATACCTTGATCGTTTATTACTGTATATACAATTTACAAATTTCACATCATCTGATGGCACTATCAACAACTCGACACATTTTAAAATGATTTACCCCCCCCCCCCCCCCCCTCCCCCTGCAAGAAAAGCTTACCGGTACTGATGACACTCATTTGAGTATCGGAGCTCCTAATCTTTTAGAATCAACCGACACAGTTTTCAAAGTATGACTTAGTAGAACTTCATTCTTTAAAATGAAATGGAGTTGGGATGCATTACAATCATTGGGATAATGGTGGATCATTGAAACCTTCAGTTCTAAATGTTGCTACATGCAAATTATGACATGATTTTAGAGTTTGGAAAACTGAATTTACGTACATAAGTCTCTTAAATGAACTAACCATATTGTCTTATTGATGCTATTATCATAATGGTAACACAATCGTTATTCTGGTATCACATAAATACAAGTCCTAACCTAGATGCACAGGGCTACTAGTCCTGCAAGTCACCCAAGTATTAAACCTTTCTTAAGAGAATCAAGAAGCAAAAACAAGTTCAACATTTGAACCTTGTCATTATATTGGTTACCAAATAATATAGCCCATCATTGGCAGCGATTACTTCAACTATCCACTCCCCCATCCTGATGAAAGAAAATGCCTGTGTCAATGCTCTACAAACACCACTGGTGATATTAGTGATATATGCAAAAATAAAAGCCTGATTTATTTAGTGACAACCGATTCTCTAAATAGATTACTCTGCAGAGCAGCTATTTCATTGAATAGGTCTCTATGCTGCTCCGGTCCAATGCCACCTTCCGCTGACTTTGATTTCTCAACTTTCCTTTTCCATTTCCCGAGGAACTTCTTCTGCTTTGGTTGCGACTCAAGGGCTAGTCAGCTCCCTCTATAGGTGGAGTAGGAGAAGGGACTAAGAAGCAGGGGTACGTGGTAGTGCTGGTTGACATCTTCTATTTCAAACACAATCTAGTGTAAAGAATAAAAAGAAAGGCAGTTGAGGATTAGTCTTGTACTACAGCAGTACCATTTCTCACAGGTCTGCAGAATGGGTTATTACAGTAGGCCTACTTTTTTTAAAGCACTATCAATTCCCTGCTACCCTGTTCTATAAATATTGAAACTCCTCCTTGAATTGTTTTTTTGAAATATTAGTGGTGAATATTAGAGCTTTAGGTGTCTTAAAAAACATGTGGCATGTCTTTAGTGTCATGTTAAAAGAACACATCTGTCCAATCTACTACAGTGAAACTTGCATATAAAGACTGCTCCAGGGAGGCAAGAAGAGTGGTCTTTATAAGCAGTTGGTCTTTAAGTACAGGGGGTCACTAGAGCAGGATTGACTATATTGTCTTTTCCATCTTCATGATCTAGCGGGCTGGTAGTCTGCAGGCACAGACTCTAATTTGACACCTAAACACAGCTCCATAAACTCTTGAGCAGAGCCTAACTCTGTCAGTCGCTGGCTGCATCAGGAGCAGCAACAGTAGAGAGCCTATTGAGTGTGGTCTCAGTATAGTCTTCCAACTCAGACCCTCTGTTATGATGCATTAAGACTAGGGCTGCGACGAGTAGTCAAATACTTGAGTACTCGCACTGTTGACAACTACTCAAGTACGATTTCTCGTACTCGAATATTCGGCCGCAAAAACAAAACAAAAATCCTGGTCACCTGGCACTATCCAGGCCGACGCTTACCCGTGCCAGGGAGAGCGCCGGCCGCTGGCATGGTACTGTCGGTAGAAATGTTTCCCAGCTCAATCACTGTCAAACTCACTAGGTACTGAGAAACTGGAACCAAATGTTCGGATTTTTGTTTGGACTCGGTAGGAAAATGGATTATTCTGCCATCTTTGGTTTTTAAAACAGCATTGTTTACTGTTATTATTATTATTATTATTAAATCGGCGCCTTCAATTGCAACTCGAAGTAAAATTGCGTGAGTTTTCGGGATACTGCTCCCGTGATATGGTGGTGGCAAAAAAATTTTTTTTTTTTAAATAATTAAAATTTTAAAAAAAACATGGCGTCCGAATATTTGAGTATTCGCTTGTAAACCTGGGAGTGTACTTTGATACCTCATTACACGGTTGTGTACAGCCTTAATTAAGACTGACAAGAGTTGGTGCCTGCATACTAGCAAGCTGGGCCAAGCATGCAATGGCATCTTAACAACTACTCCTGGAGCATGCTTGCTCACACCAGAGCTATCTAGGCCTACATACAGAATTTGGCCAACACAGTTCTGGTTCAACATGGCGAAAATTGCTTTGTTGGGAAAATACAAAAGTAAATAATATACGCCATATCCACTTAAAGACTTGGTCACAAATGCCATTACGAACTGCTACGAACGCTGTACGAACGATTTTCAGACAATGGAAATTCGGGAAGACAATGGAAAAACACGGAGATTCGTACGAAATTATCGTTCGTACGAACCTTTGTGACCGTAGCATTAAACACAGTTGACCAAACTATGTGAACAGATGCCTCTAGCCCATACTAAATCGACCCTTAGTCAAATGAAAGATGATTATTAATAGGCAATATCCAGTCTACTGCTAAAGAATCTTAGTAAGAAGAACCTTAGCAAGGACTTGAGAGGTGTTCGGTGAGTTTCATCTCATTGGTACAGCTGATTAGAACAAATATTCTGATCATTACCCAATCAAGTTAATTTCCCATGTAAGAACCCAAATTGTAAATAACTTTGATTGTATAGTCAGAAAATTTGTTCCAACCTTTAAAGTCTTAATGCAATGAAACCTGCTTTGACAACTAACTGTATAGAAAGACCACCTACATCTATACAGACAGCGTTTTTATGTTGCCCTTGTTACATGTTTCTCATCGAAACCTTAACATAAAGACGATCTCCTTTCTCCAAAGACCACTCCTCTTGTCTACCTTGAGTGGTCGTTACATACAGGTTTCCCTGTATTTTCATGCATATCTCACCTCTACAAACGGATAGAAGCCTTTGATGTTGTTTGCCTTGAAGTAGGAGCCTGTGTCAAACAAGATCTTGTAAATTCCTGGGATGAACTGCTCCATGGTTAGGAGACCAGGACATCTGCCATCTGAGTTGGTTTGTCTGTTAAAATGAAATAGGTTTTCAATTAAAGGGGTGTAGCAAGAAGACTTTTTGGGGATAACTGCACGTAAACGGTCAACGCATGCTAGCGTTCGCAAAACAAACCAAAGTTCTCCTCACGCTTCGGTTTCGCCAATGTTGCACGCACATAAATACTGCAGTCACGTTGTCCGTAGTCGTATTATACCCGATTGGCCCCAAGCCTGGCCACAGGAAAAACATGTAGTCTTGTCAGGTGTTACAGTGATAGTCACTACATGTTTTGTTTTTAAATTTTTCTTTTTGTTTTAGCTGTAATCACTCCTACGATTGTTTGTAAAAATATGATTTATATGAATGATCAATAAAACATTAATATTGCTTTAAAGGTACTATGTCCCATTTGCAGGCCCAACAAATGAAAAAGATAAATTCCAACTGCATTTGAAAGATAATACTACTTTAGAACTTCCCTAAAAAAGGTGGGGCTTGAAAATGTCTTCCAGTGGGAAAATAACGACTATTAGTTGTCAAATCGACTTTAGGGCTATAGAGCCCAAAAGTAATAGTCTTGATTTTCAGACAATTGTACCGAATGGTCATACGTTTTATGCTGCGCAAAGATTCAATCAGTTTAATCTTGGCCATCACAAGAAGTGGGTTATTGATGTAGACAAATGCTCATGTACCCTTTACAACTCTTTTCATGTATGTTATTACCAAAGAAGAAAAAAAGCAAGTCAGTCACTCAATAGTGTCTGATAGTGAAGTCTAGCAAGTAAACGGGTTTCCTTGCATAATTTGAATATGAGGACACTGCTAACGTTTAAATTTCACAGATAGGACATAAATGACATATTCATAATTCCTGCAAAGTTCTACAGAATTTGAGGTTGGCTGCAAAAGGGACATATGGTACCTTTCAAAGAGATAGTCACTACATATCGTTCTGACACTTCTGGATATTTTCTATAACTGCAAAATTCATCTCACCCTTCTGAAATCTTCTTCCACTGTCCAGCCATGAGGTGGTAGACTTCTATTCTTAGATTGGCAGCAGGGGAACCCCTAGCAGTGTCCAGTACATGGCTAGTCAGAGGGCTGTTTGGCTTTCCTCCTGCAGTCTATCATGAACAAAATGAGAAGGAGAAAATTAAAAACAGCCAAAGTCAAAGAGGAAATACAGTGAAAACTGATTTAGCAACCACCTGTATAGAATAATGGGAATATTTAGTGTGATGTGCATGCTATTGTTACTTGTAAATCGATACATTTATCAAATTTAGTTAGAAAAAAAAAACCCTGAATAATCAATGAATACATAGACTAAATAGATCTACATCTATCTCCTAATATGATTTACACATTGTCACATTTTTTCAATAGTTCACTTTTTCCTCATAAATCAAATGCTCTTAGCTTAGTTACCTTTGGCTTAATTTTTAATGGATTTGTTGACCTTATAATTTTTCTCATTTTGTTTTAAAAACCAACTTAGACTGGAGGCGGAGGTCTAACATCCAATCTGAGACTTACTAAAAACAAAATTAGCCTCAAAGCCGAACTTGAACAGGCTAAATAATCTATTTAAAAAACAAACAACAAAGCAAACACAAAATGAACAAAACTACAAAATTAAACAAAAACAGAACAGAACAAAACATTAAAACTTACAAGAACAAATACAGAACAGAATAAAACAAACAATCAAACAAACTATCAAGAAATGTAAGCTATTATGCTAAAGTGTCAAGCTAAACTTGTAAACAGTACAAAAAATCATTTAAATGAATCGTGTCAACAATACTAGTTTTCACTTCCAACTATACTGTATACAACATGAATGTCAATATATGGGACCAACATTAAGAAAGTCTGCAGCACCCATTTTTTCCTTAGATTCACCTAGTAATATTTCTATTATAAAATCGATTTATCTTAGAATTTTACCTCCACAGTCGTGAGGGCAACATTTCCTTCATCTGCAGGAGCTGAGAGATGAGAATTAAGGGCTTCTACACGTTTACAACTCCCCATTTTCTTTTTTTCCAGTTGGTACAGCTAGTCTTATAATCAGTCACAGCTAACATTTTCCCCAAAGCAATCCAGACTTTTCCCCAATGTTAGAGGGATCAATGGTAAAAATGTTCCTAAATGGTGATAATGATCATAATCAACTGTACCCAAGCATCATTACATAAATCATTCTAAAATAAAAACTACACAATACTAAATATATCATATTTCATATAAATGTGTGTAACAACTTACTCTTTTCAAGGATGTTTTCCTTTTTGCTTGTTTCTGTTCTTTAGATGTTACCTTCATATGTGGCCATAGCTCTCTATTTTGACAAACTTGGCACTGTTTTACCTGAGAAAAAAAAAAAAAAAACATTGTGTGCGGGTAATTTAGCCCGAATCCGATGACCGGAGTAACACTTAAGTTTATATCTGTTAAGCGCTTTGAGAGGGCCTATACGGTCCTGAAAAGTGCTACATAAGAACAAGCTATTATTATCATTACTATGGAGAATTCTTTTTGAAAATTCCATTTATACTTAATTATTTGACTATCAATATTTTTGTTCCTCTATTATTATAATTATAATTATTTTTGATTTTGATTTATTTTGTTTGATGATTATTCATTTTCTTAATTTTTCCCCCTTTTCTCTCTCGCTTTTCCCTTCTTTTTTTTTTTTTGGGGGGGGGGGGGGGGGACTCCTCAGTAAATAAAAATTAAAAAAGGTATTCCTGTATATTTGATCAAATTTTTCATTCTATTGATCATGAAAAAAAATTATTGGCCGCCAAATACATGTAGTTTCCACCTTTGATAACCATATAAATGTTACATATCCAAATTGAATTTGAAATGACCAATAAAATAAACAGGAATATTTATTATATCAAAATAATACCTTATATTTATCTTACTCAACAACTTTGCTCGCTCTCACACTAGTGGAGTAGAAAGTAGCATCATGAGATATATTAGCCTTTAACAACAACAACAATAGACTATTCATTTTTAAAAAAAATCATACAATCCCTACTTAAAAATCTAAAGATTACTAGAATACATTTTAAAATTATATATCAATTACTTTTTTAAATCTTCAGTTTTCTTCTCTATGTTTTCACTCTGAGACCCTCCCCCTCTGATAAAAACAAAACACAACAATAAATTCAAATGAAATAGAGCAAAATAGATAAACATGTACAATGTACATACAAACCAACAAAACAAAACAAAACAGAAAATTATGGAAATATTTATAAAAATTGTATGGCAACAGTTCACTAGTCAGCTAACAATTTGTACCAAAATATCCTCTCTTTTTTGTCTTCATTTTTTGACACTACTAGAAAGGTTTTCCTTAAAAGTTTTAAAGCTGCCCTTATAAATTTCCAATAGTTTGTCATGGTCTGCACCCCAAATTGTTATGGGAAGTGAAATTACGTTGACATGTAACCGATGAAGACAAAGACGAGGAAGTCATTTTAACTATTCAATACAAAACATATTTAATGCTTTTCTGTTTTCATCTTATTCAATTTTCACCTTGATTTTGAGATAAGACATCAATCCCCTCCAATAATATCTCTGTGATATCTTCCTGAAGGTCACGTTCAATCCTCCGTGACCCCCAGAAGGAGAATCATGAAACTCTTTGAACAATCGCTCTCTTTCTGATGCTTGTACCACTCTTTGTGAGGTAGATCTACTGCCTTTCCTGAAGTACAGCTTATCATCTAAAAGACAGAAAAAAACAGCGTGTACGAAAATTACTTTTGAGGAGAAATGATCTACAAAGCCAGTGTGATTTAAAAATAGTCTAAAACTTATTTGTAGGTAGACTCGCAAAATTGTCAAGACTTTTGCTGTGATTAAAATGTGTATGATTCTATTTTGAAATTTTAGGGGGAGAAGGAGGGGGGCAAGTATGTTCACTGTAGCCAGACTTATCATAATTTGATCTTTCAGAAATGGCATTACAATGCTTACCAATGAGGAATTTTGACTTATTTCTAAAAGAAAATTCCAAAAATACTTATTATAAAGTAGGTTAGTTATCCATTCTTTTAAAATTACTGTTTAAAAAAAATGCAAATTGGCAAAAATAAATAATGATAGATAATCAATGGCCAATACAGAATGGAAACAGTTTTTTTTCTCGACTGACCTACCGCACAATTCATATTTCTTGGTTCTTTTCCTGAATGCATTCTGTGCTAGTTTAAGAGCAGGTTCCTTGCCAGCGATACGTTCAGGATACTGTCTTGTTGTCAGGAAACAAACGACTTCTCCATAATCTTGCTCAATCATCCTGAATAACGATCACTTTACTCTCAGTTTCAAGAGAACAGTGTCACAATTCCAAGATCCAGCCAATGAATTGATTGATATATTCTACTTTGTTTTAGAGTACCGGTAGGCACATTTGGTTGGGGTAAATTGATCTGCAAGCACAGGTTCTAATTTGGCACTTTTTAGTTTAACAATATTGTGACTTGAGTGATGTCTACCGTAGCCCAGCTTGAGGTACGCTGTCTAGCAGGAGTAGCTACTCTAGGCAGTGCAGATATGTGCATTCCGTAGTCTCACAGTTCAGATCATGTGTTATGTAAGATGACTGTGCTTACAAACTAGGAGTAGATATCCTGAAGCGACTTGGTCTTGGGTCAATCAACCCTTTACAACTAGCTTGTCCTGTTGATTTGTGACTGTGCCAACCACTTTGAATCAGCTGCAACCTACAACTCCTGTTAATCTGAAGAATTTCAAGGGACGCTTCAGCAGCCTCTTGTCTGTACAGGATGGATTTTGGCTTCAGATGTCTAGATGTCTATGGCCATCTATTTGACTGCATCAAACAAACTAGGGTCCTTTTTCATCAATTGAATGATCTTACAGGATTGTATCAGCCTCAACTATGTCTCTCCCATGGTGCACCAAGTTGGATTGTTTCTGCCACTCCCCTGATGTGGTTTTAGGTGTGGGTACACATCCAAAGATCATGCAAAATTCAAGACAGACCAATGGATCGAGTCAGTGATACTTCCTAAGAATCAATCTTGCAGCCTGTTAAAACTTATCCAGCTTGAGTTGATACTTCAAACACACACTGCTTCATCAAAAGATGGATCACTCAACCTTTTAGTTCACCACCTTGATTGAAAAAAAGAAAGAGAAATGATTAGCAAATATAGATGAAATATAATGCATTAATTAGTACAAATTTACAATTTTTATGTATCCACTTGAAAAACCACACAAATTCTAATAAAGAGCTGATCTAATATACCACTATTGTGCACATATAAAGATAGATTGTTATGCTCCAATGCTGAGAAGTCACATAACTTCATAATTATTGTTGCGCTGCTGTCTGCATTCATATCACACTAAAGCAAAATAAGAACAAAAAGTATATAGAACTAACTTCTTTTAAAAAAAAATTAACCATCAGAATAATTGAACTAAAAGAAATGGGACTGAAGGCATGAAGTAAAATAACGGATAAAAGGGGAAGAATGAGACAGATATATCAATGAAACATGATGAAGAGGAAGCAGGAAACAAAACAAAACTAGACTATATTAATAATAATATCAATAATTGACATTATAAATAATGTGATTGTCTATAATTTTATAAAGAAAAGGAATAATAAGTAGTCTAGACATTGACAGTAGACTCCAGTCTAGACCTCTATTTAGTAAGTTACATAAATATTTTAGGAGTACATTGAATAAAACCTGACAAACAGAATATTATAAATAAACGCTAGGACTTAACAGAAAAAACAAATTTGAAAATGAATAAAAACAAAAATAAACCAAACGCGTAGTAGATCTAGGCCTATAGCGTAAACGCATCAATCTTTCTTTTCCATCAATCATGTATAAGTTCACTTGCAAATTTATTTAGGCCTATGTGAAGACTACCGGTATTTGTAATTTTGTATAACATTTTATAAATCATGTACAATTATCTTTATGAGAGAAGAGCATAAAAACCTACGAGGAAAAAAAAATGAATAAACTACGGTACACAACATTTAACACGTGGGACTGTATAGCAAAAATGACTAATATCATCGAACCATGGAGTTTTAACAAGCATAAAATGAACATTTATCTTAACCAAACAAATCATCAAGCTTTGAAAAGGACCGACATCATCATGTATATCAATTTAAGTTACCTCAGACTTTAGAAAAGGAACAACGGCTTCACTTTTGCTTTGTTATTGTTTCCTCTCTAGCCACAACAAGCTAGCCTTATCTCAAGAAATTATGTAGCTGAAAATTTGGATGATATACTAGTACTCAGTTCAAAATGAATGCTAGGTATGTAACGGAGGATTTAGTTAGTTCTTTGAATTGGAAGTTAACTCTGTTACTTCATTTTGATTTTTGAGGGCAAACATAGAACCTTGTGTTCGTTTAAGCCAGTGGTTGTTTTGTTTTATATATCCTCTTGAATCTTGATGAATTCCTCATTAGTTTCTTTCATTTGTCGCACATATCTCTTTCTCTCTCTCTCTCTCTCTCTCTCTCTCTCTCTCTCTCTCTCTCTCTCTCTCTCTCTCTCTCTCTCTCTCTCTCTCTCTCTCTCTCTCTCTTCCTATTTAGCCATCCTCTCTATATAGCATATCTCTCCTCTCTCTCTTTCCACCTTTATCCCATTCAAAATTGCAAATGCATGCTTCCTACTCTTGTGACCGGTTGTGACCCCCTCCCAGATTAGGAAGCATTTGCAATGTTAGAACCATATTCGGCGCATTTTCAGGCACTTCCCGGAGTAATATTGTTACGGGGTTCAGGGGTTATTCTAAAAAAATGGACAAAACGAGATCGTCAATTATGCTGTTGGGTGTCAGAGCATCAGCTAAAACAATGTGATCTTTAAGAATATGATAGTTCAAACTAATATGTGAATGTAGTGTACAATGTAATGAACAAGGTTTACAATATACATGCGGGGGCGTCGCTAGACCGTTTCAGTGGGGGGGGGGGGGGGGGGGGTAGAGGCCACCGATTACCGACAAACCCAGCCGCCAGTCTCGACTCTTAATCCTTGTCTGAATTTCAAAAATGTTCTTTGTCTGCTCCTTTTTCTTCCTACGTACGTCCTCAGGCTTTTTCTCTCCTCTCTCCACCGCCGGATTAAGAGTCGAGAACGGTACAGCGAACCGTCTTCTTTCGCTCATAATCTTATGAATTGTCAAAACTTCCGCGCTTCGCGCGGGGAGGGGGGGGGAGAAACTGAATTCAGACGAGGATCATTTTCGAGAACGGTACAACGAATCGTCTTCTTTCTCTATTGATTTAATGAAAAGTCAAAGCCTCCGCGCTTCACGCAGGAGGGGGGGTGACTTTTGACAAGGATTAAGAGTCGAAACTGTACAACGAATCGTCTTGTTTCTCTAATGATTTAATGAAACGTAAAAGCTTGCGCGCTTCGCGCGGTAGGGGGGGGGGGCTAAATTCAGACGAGGATTATTTTCGAGAAAGGTACAACGAATCGTCTTCTTTCTCTAATGATTTAATGAAACTTATAAGCTTTCGCGCTTCGCGCGGAGGGGGGAACCTGAATCCAGACCAGGATTAAGAGTCGAGAACTGTACTACGAATCGTCTTGTTTCTCTAATGATTTAATGAAACGTAAAAGCTTGCGCGCTTCGCGCGGTAGGGGGGGGGGGGGCTAAATTCAGACGAGGATTATTTTCGAGAAAGGTACAACGAATCGTCTTGTTTCTCTAATGATTTAATGAAACGTAAAGGCTTCCGCGCGTCGCGCGAGAGGGGGGGGGGGGGGGGGGACCTGAATCCAGACGAGGATTTTCTTTCTTTTAGGTTTGCTGGGGGTGGGTGTAGAGCCCGCCGATTACCAACAAAACTATAGCCACCTATTACCGACAAATATATTAATGCCAATGTCCCAATATCTACCAATTTAACTCAATAAACCGGGGGCAGGAACTAAATTATTTTTTAGTTTCCCTCCTCCCGCGCGAAGCGCGGAAGCTTTTTGCACTTCATTAGATTATTAGAAAAAGAGAGACGATTCGATGTACCGTTCCCGACTCTTAATTCTTGTTTCGCCCCTCCCGCGCGAAACGCAAAAGCTATGACGTTTCATATAATTACTAAAGAAAGAAAACGATTCGTTGTAGGCCTACCTTTCTCTATACTCTTAATCCTTGTCTGAATTCAGTTTTCCCCTCCCCGCTTTGACGTTTCATTGAATCATTAGAGAAAGAAGACGATTCGTTGTACTTATTTCGACTCTTAATCCATGTCTGAACTCAGTTTCTCTCCTCCCGCGCGAAGCGCGGAAGCTTTGACGTTTCCTTAAATTATTAGAGAAAGCAGACGATTCGTTACTGTTTTCGACTCTTGATCCTTGTCTAAATTCAGTTTCTCCCCTCCAGCGCGAAGATTTGACGTTTCATTAAATTATTACTCTTAATACTTGTCTGAAGCGAAGCCTCGACATTTCATTAAATTATTAGAGAAAGAAGACGTAGTTGTACTGTTTCAACTCTTAATCCTTGTCTTTATTCAGTTTCCGCGGAAGCTTTCACGTTTTATTAAATTATTAGAGAGAAAGAAGACGATTCGTTGTACCGTTCGTTACTCTTAATTTTTGTCTGAATTCGGTTTCCCCCTCCCGCACGAAGCGCGGAAGCTTTGACGTTTCATGAAATTATTAGAGAAAGTAGGCGATCTGCTGAACTGTTTCTTTTCCTTTTCTTTTCTTCTTTTCTTTCCCTTTCTCTCTCATTTTTCCACAGCGCAATTTTACAGACAATATCCTGACAGGTGGGGGGGGGGCGGAGGGGGGGGGGGCTGTCACACCCCATCACCCCCCCTTTTATAGTTACGCCCCTGGTTGTTATTATTGTCCCATTATTCTTTTAAAAGAAATGCAATTCCTCATGCTCTCGCACCTCTCTTCTATCGTTGTTTAATTCTCTTTTATTGATTTTGTCTTTCTTCTTTAATTCTCTCTTCCCCCTTTTCCACCTCTTTTTTGTTGTTGATCCTCTTGTGCTTTTTGTTTTATTGGGGGGGGGGGGCTAGACGCCTGGCAAGAGGGACCCCATATTATGCACACTGCAAAATCGCTTCCCCCGCCCCTTTCCTGGTAAAAAAAACCTTCTTATAATATCAACCCCCTTTCTTTTCCCTTCTCATTATTCTCCTCTCCCTTTTTTCTCTCCATCGTCTTTCCCACTTTCTTCCTTTCTCCTCCTTTTCTCCTCTCCCCTTTTCTCTTCTCCTTCTTGTCTTCTTCTTCTTTCTCTCTTCCCTTTTATTTTTCCCCCTCCTGTTTCTTTCCCCCTCCTTTTTCTCGTTTTCTCCCCTTTTCTTCCCATCTTCCCATCTTTTTTTTTTTACCGTGGGGGGGGGGGGGGGCACGTACCCACTGTACCCCCCCCCCCCCCCCCCTCCCCCGAATCCGCCACTGGTAACATAAACACACATTAAAAAAGCGATTAAATAAAATTATACAGTAGCTTAATATTAAGAGAGGAAGAAGTTTGGTACAGACTCGGGGTGCTATAGTGAGTTGCAACTCAGTCATAATAGTCAATCAATGTTTGTAATTTCAAAAACGTTTCCAATTGGATAATAACATCTAAACGAAATCTTCGTTTAAAATGTATTTCACCTCTCAAAAAATACAAACACCTTCATGCACCTCGTTTGTTACAGCCCGATTCATGACAAATTCTTTGCACTGGGGGTTTGGGCAGGGCCGCAGCCATACTTTGATGTTTTGTTTTGTTTTGTTGTTTTTTTGTTTTTTGTTTTTTTGGGGGGGAAGGGGTCTAAAAAAGTTCAACCGATCTTGGAAATTTGTGGGGGGCATGTGCCCCCCCCCCCCAAGTGGCTACGGCCTGGGTCTGGGGAGGACTTTCAGAAAGGCAGAATTCCGTAATCCCAATCACGAATGTCTTAATAATTGACAAAGAGGAACAAAATAAAGAAATCGTTTGAAAAATTATGATAAAGATCTGTAATTTACATGAATGCATTGATTTCTATTTCTTTTCCCGCAGATCTTCTTGTGAATATAGGTCGATAATAATTGAACAGTGCACAATTCATCGGGTATCTCGATTTAACGAATTATAACCATTATCAGGACACACTGGAGACAATTATTCATGAGCAGAATAAAACGCACTGGCATCGAGGCTAGCTTGCTTAAAAGTCCCATCGGCAGGCCCAAAAAATGAAAAGGTAAAATTCCAACGGCATACTAAAAGATAATACTAATTTAGAACTTCCCTATAAACAAAAGTGGCTTGAAAATGTCTTCAAGTGGGAAAATAATTCGACTATTAGTTGTCGAATTGACTTAAGAGCTATAGAGCCAGTAAGTAATAGTCTGATTTTCAGACCATTGTACCGAATGGACGTACGTTTTATGCTGCGCAAAGATTCAATCAGTTTAATTTTGGTCATTACAAGAAGAAAAAAAGCCAGTCACTCACTCAATAGTGTCTGACACGTCTGACAGTGAAGTCTAGCGAGAAACGGGTTTCCTTGCTTATTTTGAATATAAGAACACTGCTAACGTTTAAATTTCACAGATAGGACATGACATATTCATAATTCCTGCAAAGTTCTACAGAATTTGATGTTGGCTGCAAAAGGGACATAGTATCTTTAAACTATATAGCAAACATGAAAACAAATTTACAAGTATAATAAAATCATTATTTTTTTTTCATAGGTTTTTATTCATTTGTCTCATAAGGAAAATTGTACATAATTTATAACATTGTATACAAACTAACAAAATAATTTTAACATAGGCCTTAATAAATTTGCAAATGAACTTTTACATTTACATACAAGGTTCCAACTAAAGTTACACATTTACAGATGAAAAATATTCACATATTAAACAAAATTATATTTTCACCATTAAAAAAACAAAAACAACAACAACAAGAACAACAAAAAATCGCAAAAAAAGTTTGTACTATTTTCTCGACCAGTTTGATTATAAATCTCAAATTATTTCTTTTCCACAATATTCTGTTTTCCTTTAAAATTTCCTTTAGAAACAAAAATAATTATATATGTAAAAAGAGAAAGAGCTACACCTACTTCCCCCGCCCCACACAACATCTAAACACATAACAAGTACAACAGTATACAAAACACACACCAACATGAACGAACAAATAAACAAAAGAAAAGAAAAAGTAAAGAAGAGAAAAAAGGAGGGGGAAAAATTAAAGCAAAAGTAGAGAAGAGAGCAGGGTCTGGAAGTTGTATAATTGAGAAAAAATTAAAAAACAGAAAACATTTATTCTAAACTTTCTAAAGCTTCCCATTTCCTTAACTGAATTGAAAGTGTGTCTCTTTCCAATGAAAGCTTTTTCTCTTCATTTCTATTTTCCAATAATCTATATTCTATTTCTTTTGCTTTTGGAGGGTTTCCCTTCTCTCTATTGTGGAAAATCATATATTTGATCAAAATCAAAATGTGGTTCAATAATTTCTCTGTTTTAAAAGTAGTGTCATCTATTCCTATATGAATTTCTTTCCAGGATAATTTCTTCAGAATTGGTAAATTAAGTCTATCTGCACATTTTCCCCAGACTTCCTTTATTGTATTACATCAAAAGAATACACGTTGATAAGTTTCTTCAAAATTTTTGCAAAATGAGCACAACCCATTTTCATGGAACCTGAATCTATGTAAATGATGATTTGTATATAAAATATTATACAATAGTTTGAACTGAAATTCTATCCTTGGTTGAACAAATATTTTTTCTACTTCTTTTCTTGAAATATTATAAAGTGTCATTAAATTGCTGCCTGCCGAGTTTGTTTCTACATTCTTTTTAATTTGACTCTTATATACCACTTTTGCAGTTAAATCTTCAGATGTAAACACTTTCTTTGAAAAAATAAATTCTAAACTAAAGCCAGTGTGAATTGTCTTTGACCCAATAGGACCCTATAAAATGATATCGATGTTCCTTAGATTTTTGACGGTTGTCTATCTCAAGACGAGTGATGGCGCCAGATAATTCGCAAAACGAAGCCATGTTTTCGTACCTGATCAATTCAATCAAATGCACGGTTTATATTGCGTGAATAGAATAGGAAGACTCATAGAAGAACGCCGAAATACATGGATCTCATGACATTTTGATCGCTTTGATTAACGTACTAACTTAGGAGAGGTGAGTTAATGACATACAAATGTTCTAAAATATACATCTTTTCTAATCATCTTCATTTGTCTTTTATCGAGTGTCTGTAGACTAGAACTTTGAGTTGGAGAAGTTAAATTTATTATATTTCAAACAGTCCTGTGCTGTGACTGAGCTGTCTTCTCTGTGCCGAGTGATCTCTGTGTGTGTGTTTGTCTTTTGAAGCCAAGATCAAGTGAGTGCTTGTGGTTGTGCAACGTAGACCCACTACGTTTGAGTTTAATACTAAAATAACCTTATTGTTTGGCCTATGGGGATCAACCTGGCATTTATCAAGCCTTTACTTTAGCAGTAGATCTGTAGGGGCGCTGGTCCAAGAATAAGGATCGTCCGCATAAATGAGGATATCTTTGTAAACGTGGACCAACCGTGTCCTAAATAATAAGGATCGTCCGTCTTTTTTATTCGGCGCACTGCTGGTGTAAGGTAACCGATCCGAATATGCTGGCAATGCAAAAAACAGATTCCACGTAATAAAATAGTTGTCAGTCTTCCGGAGGATTTATCGTTCATATAAACGTGAAAGTCTCTGTGCTGCTTTTAGATCTAAGTGTGACATGCCAGATCAGAGCTACCAAGTGTCACGCATTAGGCGTGACGTCACGCATTTGGAGGGTCTGAAAACGGCTCTCACGCACGGCGCACGCACTAGATTAAAAAAAATGCCATACCTATACGTGTGTTATACCCTCGCATGCGCGCTTGCGCGCCGAAAAAATGAAAATGTCGCGCATTGCCGATCTTTTACCTTGTCGTCTCTGACATGCATCAATCCGGTTTTTGCATCGCCAACGCGCGGATCAGAAATATGGGACGTTCGTGAAAATGCAGACAATCCAGACTTAGACTTTAAGTTAGAGAAGGTCTATAGTCGATCTAGACTTTACTTTAGGTTGGATTTGTCCGTGTTTATGCAGACGATCCTTATTCTTGGACCAGGGCCCCTACTGTTAAGGGTCTTGGTGATAATGTAAAATATGATAATGATATCACCAAGCCTTAACTGGCACCCATAGGCTATAGACCCGAGCTGTGCAGATAGGCAGGTAAACAACACCCTAGCCTTTATTAGACCCCCGATACACATACCTCTGAAGTGGACTGAGGCCGTCCCCGGAGGCGGCTCGACGTACATGTATGTGTAACATCAACTTTTTTGAAAAGCCGGACTGAGGCTGCCTCCATCCAGTCCACCTCTGGATGTGGTTTGACGCCGGCCTGAGTCCGGACTCAGTCCCGCAATCAGTAGGTGTAACACCAAAGTGGACTCGGCGCCAGTTTATAAGCGGAAGTGAAGTGACCTGTCATCTGTAGGGACTTTTAGATTCGCACAAAGACAATGGGGATTGCTACGATCGACGTCCTTTTAATGCACTGCCTTGAACGGACGTCACACGTATCAGTCCACGCAAATCTAAAAGTCCCTATTATATCAACATTACATCAGGAGTGCCCCAACGTCAGCTCGTAAAAAGGCGACGTGAGGCCAGCCTGTGTGTAGATACAAAACTGCGGGCCTAAGATACGTGTAACAGGGGTTTGATGATCTCGTGGCGGCTTCAAATTGCAGGGGTGAGGCCTTCTCCGAAACCGGCTTTAAAAGCTGATGCATGTGTAACAGAAGGAACCTGCTTGTCAACTCCATTCAGCTAGGACTATGGTACTGCATACCAGGCTCTCGTTCGCTCTCTTCCTGAGTATGGGAGTGCTGTCTGGGATCCACACACCATCAGATGTCTAACCCAGTTGGAGATGGTCTAGAGACAAGCAGCGAGATATGTTCTCAACTATTAAAGGCTGCGACGAGTAAGTACTCGCACTGTTGACAACTACTCGAGTACGAATTTGTTTGTTTTTTGCTGATTTTTTCTTCTTCTCCACCTGGCACTGTTCCGACCAGCTGAAGCTCACCCAATGCCCAGAAAAGCACCGGCAGGGTACCGTGAGTAAAAATGTCTCCCAGCTCAATCATACACGGGGTGTCACTGTCAACTCACCACTCAGAAGCTAGGACCAAACTAGCTGCCAATGTCCAGATTTCTGTTTGAACTTGGGAGGATAATTTGTCTGTCATCTTTAGTTTTGAAAACAACATTGTTACTATTATTTGTGAGTAGTTTACAAGCACAAATCGGCGCCTTCAATTTCATCTCGCAGAAAATTAGCGTGGGTTTTCGTAGTCAGACTTTGGAATGCTTCCTACAACGTCGGCAAAAAAAAAAAATGACCGCCGAGTCCTGAGTATTCGCCTGTAAGCCTGGGAGTGTACCTCATTACACGGTTCTGCACAGCCTTATTCTCGACAGCTATCATCATACATCTAGCATCTCTGACATGCTGAGTCAACTTGGATGGACCTCCCTCCAGAAGAGAAGAGAAGAGACCATCAACGTCTCAGCTTTCTGTACAAGATGCACTACTCTCTGGTTGACTTTGACATCCACCACTACATCCAACCAGCAACAGTCATAAAAACTACAAGATCGTCTCGTCCTTACTGTTGTCGTGTCATGCAGTCACGAACTGAGCAACATATTTCCTCCTTCTTTCCTTGCACTGTTCGACAGTGGAACACCCTCCCTCTTGAGGTTGTCCTGGCTCCGTCAGTGGAAGCCTTCCAGCGACAACTAAAGACAGGCAGGAAGTAACTTCCAGCAACATTTTTACTGGCACTATGTACACCTTTCACCTGCACACCTTGGCATCCCCATGTCGCCACACACATGCATGTACACATCTGCAAGAATCTTCAGCAGAGAAGGAGGCAGATTATCCTGAAGAAGAAGAAGAAGAAATGCGTCCGAAATCACCCCTTCCCGCACTCGACGAGTATTGCACAGTGGGTTTAACGTTTGCTAATGGACTCTTCTTTCTTCTCATACAAAGCATTTTAAAATCGGTCAAAGAATAAGTATGAAATATCAGATTTTGCTAACAGAGTGGTAGCGATTTGCTTACCTTCCATGTGTTCCTGATGATAATTATAAAGGTGCTTTTTACATGACAAAAAAAGTTAAGTTCCAGCTGAAATAATAAGACGTGTTGTTTACACATAAACACTGTTTTTTGCGTTGCCAATTTGATACTTACTTGATATACTTTACTTTACGATTATAGCAATTAGTGTAAAAAAAGGCATGCGCGCAGGGAGTTTGTTAATTTCAGTGAACTCTGTGCATGCGCCTTTGTATGCTGTACTAATCGCTAATAAATATTGTAAAGTGAGTAAATTAGTAAAATATAGTCTTTATCCTGAACTACTAAAGGAGATAATGAGATGACGCAGTAAGTTCGAGCTATGAGCCTATGATCCAATCAGATGATCGAATTGGTGATTTGGCTCCCGATATTGGTATCGGATTGGGAGATCGGGAGGGAAATCTGATGCAAATCTGCCTCAAAAAATTATATAAGTTTGATAATTTTGAGCACTCTAATACCTAAATTACTTTGTAGCTCATAACTGGGATCATTTTGTCATTTGGTGTTGGTGTAGACAATGTCTGTTGATGCTTACATACATGTACGTGTACAGATAGTGCCTTTTCATGCTTCTGAAATTAAACAAGTTAGTCTAAAAGTAAAGGCCAAAACATGTGAGCCGCCATTATGTATTATAATGACATTGAGAAAAAAAAGAGTGTGCCTACAAAAGAGTATCTACATTTAGCAATAGATTAGATTTTAATTTTCAGTGCCTGTGTTGAATTTTGAGCATACATGTACAGTATCACAATTTTGATTTGTTGTTGTTGGTTGATTCAGTTTCTTACTTTCTTAGCAGTAGTACAGTTACATACAGGTACATCAATATTTCTGCACATTGTGTACTAAGTGATCATAGTTCTACAGCCCACTTGTTTAACTGTATTGGGCTGCCAAAAAACAGGAAGATATTCCCTGTTTGAAAAGACAAATAATTCATCTTGATCTAATAAGTTTTGATATTACTGTATGTACACTGTACAGTATGTGTAAAGCGCTGAAGATACAATTTGCATTTTGAACAAGACAAATAGCATGTACCGGTACATGTATGACTCAAGTTTGACATTTAAAAACCATCAGTTCATTCAGTGCATTGGCTGGTGCTAAATATCATTTATGTTAATGCTTTATCATTTTGTCAACCTTGTGATGTTTTGTATGTTATCATCTTGCCTGGAAATAAAATAAATAAAATAAATAAATAAATATGATCTTTGCATTTGGTTTTTAATCCATTCAATCATTCAAGCAGCTACTAATTCTGTATTTCTGCCAGAACTTTTCTCTGCAATAAAAAACATTTACCCAAGAAAATTATATTTCACTTGATGCATGGAGGTGTGTTAAATGTTAGATGAGTTCCAAGTTTTTTTTTTTTTTTTTTTTTTTTTTTAGCAGATCTATGTTTCTGCATTTATTGATAAATCAAATATAAAACATTCAAATAACAATAATAGTATATAGATAGAATAATTGATTTACATAAAGAGTGACAACATAAATACACATGTATAAATATATATATATATATATATATATATATTTGAAAACTTAAAAATAAGTAGGAGAATAGAGTGTCACATATTAAGTTTTTTTTCTTCAGAAAATATCTAATAAAAAGTGCAAAGAAAGTAAAGAAAGAAAGAAAAAATTGCAAGTGTGTGCAAGAGGGTGTGTGCAGGTGAATTAAGTGTTCATTCAGGCTCTACTGTATTATGCTGCTATTCAAAACAAGGAATATCTGGTGACGTGCAGGTAAAAAGCAATGAATAATGTTTTGCAGGGTATATGCTTCTATTTATAGCAGTGAATATGTGATGCTGTGCAGGCTGTATGCTGCTATCTATTGAAAGCTATGAATATGTTATATTGTGCAGACTATACATGTTGCTATAGCAGTTTAGAGTTTTCTAATATTTCCGTCTTCAAATGGGTAAAAATTGTTACCAACAAAATGTTTAATCAATGAAGTTATAAAAGAA